CACTGACTGAAAACTACCACAGAGTGCTGGCAACCAGTGGGCAGGCTTGCAGGGTATGCCCTTTGGTTATTTGAATGATTAGATATTGAGTGCTTTGATGTATGTCCAACAAACAAACAAAAAACCTGAGGGAATGGAAGCAAATGCTGTTGAATGATGATGCATGGAGGGGACTATAATCATTGCAATGAAATGAAATAAAATAGGATGAATGTAAAGTTGATGTTCTCCCATGTAAACCATCACTCAGTTCACAATAAAAACTTAAACAAAACCAAACCAAAAAACCCCTACCACAGATCCTGGTCTGCCTTTTAAAAAAAGTCATTCTTGGGGACCTTCATCTCCTTTCATCTCTGGACATATCCACACAGTTAGGACACCCCTGTTTCTGTACCAATCTTGGATCAAAAAAGTAGTACAGATTGCAGGACAGAGACTCTATAGCATGCCCACCCAAGGTGACAGTACTGTAAACAACATACCCAGAGGCTACACTGAGAACAAAGAACAAAGAACTGGGACTTGTCAGTTTTTCCCTTGGGGCCAAAGTCAGGGATTCACAGGTAGAGCTTCAGACTCAGAAAAGATTTCCTTTTCCTGGACCAGCAGTCTCCATTCATTCTAATGGACCCTCTGTTTCCAGATGTACCTCATGAGAAAAGGAAGCCCACCTCAGGTAAAGGATTTTTGTTGTGAAGTGCCACTGAGTCCTTTCTGACTCATAGTGACCCTGTAGTAGACCAGACTGAAACACCATTCGGTCCTGTACCATCCTCACACTTGCTGCTATGCTTGAGCCCATTGTTGCTGCCACTGTGCCAATCCATGTCGTTAGGGGCCTCCCTCTTTTTCTCTGTCCCTCCACTATACCAAGCATGATGTTCTTCTCCAAGGGCAGATTCCCTCCTGATAATGTGTCTGAAGCATGAGAGACAAAGTCTGACCATCTTGGTTTCTAAGGAGCATTCTAGTTGTATTTCTTCCAACACAGATTTATTTGTTCTTCTGGCAGTCCATGGTACCTTTAATATTCTTCTCCAACACCATAACTCAAATGCATAAATTCTTCTATGGTCTTCCTTATTCGTTATGCAAGGTAAAGGAGGGTGGTGGTGATTATGTGCCAGGGAGCTGGTTCAAGGTAAAGGATGGCTGGTGGTTATGTGCTGTGGAGTCGGTACCGGCTAATAATGACCCTGCATAGGGTTTCTGAGGCTGTAAATCCTTATAGGAGCAGAAAGCTTCATCTTTCTCCCACAGAACAGCTGTAGTTTCGAACTGTTGACCTTGAAGTTAGCAGCTCGATTTGTAACCACTACACTACCAGAGCTCTCTAAGGTAAAGGACAGATATATATTTGATCACAATTCAAGAGGAAATAAGTCAAATTCATGGAACCAAGTCTCTCTTGGTTCCATGAGAGACTTGGAAGAGAAGACAAGTCTTCTCTTGGGGGAAGGCTCTCTCTTGGTTTGCTTTGGGGAAGACCCTTGTCCCTTTCAGCTTCTATTCTTCAGTTCCTTGGTGATTCTCCCCCATTTGTCTATGCTTGTGCTTGTCTGTCTTGTTGTGGGATGTCCTCAAGTCAATTCTGACTCATCGTGACCCCATTTGACAGAGTAAGGTTTTCTAGTCTGCAAACTATACCCGACCAGATGGCCAAGTCTTTCTCTTTTTGAGTGGCTGGGTGATTTGAGCCACCAGCCTTTTAGTTAGTAGCTGAGCCCTTAACTGTTGCTCTCTATGTCTAATCAGTTCTGTCTATGTCTCATCAATCATTAGGTTTAAGACACACCTTGCAACAATATGACCTCAGGAACATAACAAAAGAAAATTCTATTCCCAAACCTATTCCCAAGTCAACTCTGAACTCAATCTAGATATAGAATTATGTGAAACGAAACAAACCTAAAAGACTGAAAATAGGAAAACAGAGATATCAATTTATAGTGATGTCAACCACAAAGCAAAAAGAGGGAATCGTGTAGATACAGAACTTCCATATGGCAAAGAAGTTAAGAAGATTTCAAGATAAAACAGACAATTTTAAGTAAGGGAACAAAATTAGTGAATTAGAGAGCAATTTCAAAGAAAACTAATACACCCGCACATCAAAATTAAAGGAGGAACATTAGATTTAGTAAACATTACCACAAGAGAAATAAAAATGAAAAGAAAATCCACAAACAAAATGAACCCAGAGCAGAAAATTATATGGAACAAAGAAACCAACAGCAAGAAAACCCAAAAAACTACACAGCAAAATGACAACAATCAATTCATACCTATGGAGAATTTCACTGAATGTAAATGCACCAGTCAAGAGACCAAGAGTCATTTCAACCTAAAGACATACTTTGTTTTTTATATATAATTTGCTTTTACTGTGCATACTTTGTTTAGTTATATAATTGCATGCATTATCAGGAACAAATTTGATAAGTACATGTGAATAATCTCTTTCCTGTAAAGGAATTTTATAGCCAAAAAACATACTAAATCGTTTTCTAAATTAATTAGAGATTGACACTTTTTTTTAAAACTGTAGCTTTGACTCTTTCTATGCTGTGAATTAATAGTTGATATTTGGTAAAAAAAACAACCCTGTTGTCTTTGTTAAAACTTAGGTTTTAAAATAAAATGGCAGAATTAACATTGGAAACAACTAAAAAAAAAGAGATAGAGACAGAGACACATCAAAAAGATGAGGACAGCCTAAATGCCCATCAACAGAAGAATGTTTAAACAAACTTTGGTACATACACACAATGGAATACTATACAATGTTGAAGAATAACAATGAATCTGTGAAACACCACAGAACATGTATAAATCTGAAGGACATTATGCTGAGTGAAATTTGTTGATTACAAAAGGACAAATATTGTACAAGACCCATATTGTTAAAAAAATTTAAGAAAATGTTTTCTTAATAAAAGTTGAAGGTAGCAGGAGACACAAGAATACAAGAATTAAAGTGAGTAGACGTAAATACTGTTAACTGTTGGTACATGGAAGGGATTGCAATCATTGTAGTGAGCAAAGTATATGAGTTGTTGAATGTAAAACTGATGATCTACTCAGTAAATCTTCACTCAATTCACAATAAAAAGTGAAAAAAGAAAAGAAATGCAATTGCTTCTAAGAATCTTTAAGTTATAATTTACCTCTTCTTTGTGCTTCTCAAAGGTGAACCTTAGGCACCTTTGTAGGAACTAATGAACTATGCATAGTCCTTGGGCCCACCAAGCCAAGTGGGTCGGGATCTTTAAGTGGTCAGCAGCAAAGGGGCTAAGGGTTGTTAAGCTCAAGACTCAAACTGGCAGCAACCTGGTAGCTGGGTGCTGTGCCCAATTCCAAGGTGGTAAAGAGAGTCCTGGTGTAGCGCTGCAGGGTAAACACTGGACTGCTAATCACAAGCTTGTCAGCTCAAACCTACCAACCACTCCTTGGAA